CCCCAGGTGGGGTGTCCCCAGGTGGGGTGTCCCCATGGCGGGGTGTCCCCATGGGTGCACTCACCAGCACTGGCGCAGCAGCACCTTGAAGCCGTCAGGACAGCCGGAGGGGACGGGCAGGTGGAGGCTGTTGCTGCCCACCCCCCAGATGATGGCCGACGAGTCCACATCCTTGTAGGGGATCTCACCCGTCAGCAGCTCCCAAAGCACCACCCCGAAGGACCTGGGGGCAATGATGTCACCCACGGCCCCTGTCACCCACGGCTGGGCACCCCCAGTGTTCTCCTCCTGTGCCCTGGTCCCCCCCGCCCTGGGTCCCGTCCCTGCTTCTGCCCATGCTGGTGTCCCCAGTGTTCCCTGCTGCTTCTGTGGTCCCTAATCTCCCTGTCCCTGCGATGTCCCTCCCGGTATCCCAAATGTCCCCATCTCTGGTGCCCTGCAGTGTCCCTGAGGCTTCATGTGTCTCTGATGTCCCCTGTTCCTATTATCCCCAATGCTTCCTCTGCCCCCCAATGTCCCCATTGCCTCTCAAAGCCCCCTGTGTTGCTGTCTCCCCAGTGCCACCACCGCTCCCTGGTGTCCCGAAGGTTCCCATGTCCCCTGTGTCCCCGAGGTCCCTGTGTCCTCACCAGATGTCAACCTTCTCGGAGACAGGCTCGTTGCGGATGACCTCAGGTGCCATCCAGGCCACGGTGCCGGCAAAGGACATCTTGGTGCTCTTGTCAATGAGCTCCTTGGAGGTGCCAAAGTCCGAGATCTTCACCACGTCGTCATAGGTGATGAGCATGCTGGGGGGCACCCGCTCAGCGCCACGCCAGCACCACGCCAATGACACGCCAATGACATGGGCATGGCACCGCCACAGGCATGCAACTGCTACAAGCATCATCATGTCATGGGTATGCCACCACCATGGGCACAACACCGTCATGGACGTGGCACCACCATGGGCACAGCACTATCATGGGCATGCAACTGCTGTGAGCATGGTCCTGTTGTGGGCATGCCACCACCATGGACACAGCACCACCACCGCCACGAGCATGGCACCACCACGGTCATGCAATTACTATGGGCATGGAACCACCATGGGTATGGTGCTGCCGTGGACATACAACTGTCACGGACATGCAACCACCAAGGTCATTGCACTGCCGTAAGCAGAGCACTGTCATGGGCACGTCACTGCCACGGACGCGCAGCCACCATAGACATGGCGCTGCTATGGACATGCAACTGCCATGGGCATGCAACCACCACCATCACTGCTCTGCCAAGGGCATGGCACCACCGGGGTCACTGTTCTGCCATGGGCACGGCACCAACAAGGACATGGCACTGCCATGGACATGCAACCATCACCAGCATGCAGCCACCGAGGACAAGGCACCACCAAGGGCATGGCACTGCCACGATCATGCAACCACCACATGCATGTCCCCACCACGGGCACGGCACCATCGCGGGCACGCCATCACCTGGGGCGCCCACCCCAGCACCTACGGGTGCTCCCTGAGCCCCCATCCCCGCTCACTTGGGCGACTTGAGGTCGCGGTGGATGATCTTGTGGAGGTGCAGGTAGTTCATGCCGCCGGCGATGCCCATGGACCAGTCGACGAGGAGGGAGGGGGTGACCTTGCGCCCGGCGCGCAGCACCTCGTACAGCTGGCCCTGGGCGCAGAACTCCATGATGATGCAGTAGCAGGGTGCCTGGGTGCACACACCCCTGCGGGCACAGTGGCACCCTCAGCACCCGCTGCCTGGCCAGCCAGGGCACCCGGCAGCACCCAGCTGCACCGGAGCACCCAACTTCTCCAGGACACCCATCTGCACTCAGGTACCTGCCAGCACCCATCCGTGCTGGGGCACCCATCTGCACCCAAGCCTCCCCCATTAGCGCTAGGAGCACCCATCTGAATTGGGGCACCCATCTGCTCTCAAGCCCACCCCCCCCCGTTAGCAGTAGGAGCACCCATCTGCACCCAGACACCCAGTAGCACTGGGATACTGGGGCACTTATCTGAATCGGGGCTCCCATCAGCGCCAGAGCACTGGGGCACCCATCTGCACCCACATCGCCCTGCCCTGAGAGTGCCCCACCTGTGACAGACCTGTCCCATGTGTGGCCATCCCCTGTGCCACACGTGGGACATGCCAGTGTGCCCCGTGCCCATGGCATGTCAGTGCCCCATGTCCATGCCATGTCCTGCCCACCCAGGTCCATACCATGCTGGTGTTCCCCGTGCACAAGCCGTGTTGGTGTCCCATGCCTATGTTGCATCCATGACCCCTATGCCTGTGCCCATGGCATGTCCATGCCGTGTTCATGCTCATGTCCGTGGCCTGTGCCCATGGCGTTCCCCACGCCCATGGCTTGCTCATGGCATGTCCACACCTCATGCTGTATTCATGCCTATGACCATGACGTGTCCATGCCCTGTGCCCATGGTGTCCTCCCTGTCCGTGGCTTGCCCATGGCGTGTCCACAGCCCATGGCGTGTCCACAGCCATGCCACGTCCTTGCCTCCATCCCTCATGCCCATGCCATGTCCATGTCTCTGCCCCGTGCCCATGGCACATCCATGCCCCATACCATGTCCATGCCCTGTGCCCATGGTGTTCTCCATGCCCATGATGCTCTCCATGCCCCACGCCCATGGTTTGTCCATGCCATGTCTGTGTTCCATGCCCATAACATGTCCATGCCACCTCCACACTCCATTACCATGGCATGACCACGCCACGTGCCATGTCCGTGCCCTGTGCCCACGGTGTCCCCATGCCCATAGCATGTCCACGCCCCACGCCGTGCCCGTGCCCGTGCCCCACGCCCACGCCGGTGCCAGCAGCACCCACGCTCACTTGAAGGTGATGATGTTGGGGTGCTTGAGCTTGCGCAGGTGCTTGATGTCAGTCTCCTTGAGGTCCCTCACCTTCTTCACGGCCACCTCCTCGCCGTGGAAGCGGCCCAGGAAGACGGCACCCTGCGCCCCGCTGCCCACCCACTGCAGGTCCAGGATCTCCTCGAAGGGCACTTCCCAGGGGTCTGCGGGCACCCGTGCCCATGGCACCCGCACACCAGCACCCCTGGTGCACCCACACCCACGGCACCCGCATGCTGGCGTGCCCAGGGTGCAGCCCCCCCCTTGGCACCCTCACCCCAGCCCTACTGTTCCCACCCTGCCCCATTGCACCCCACTCCCTGCCCCACTGCACCCTGCTTTGCCCCATCCCTGTCCCACTGCACCCTCCGGGTCCTGTGGCACCCTCCTCTGCACCCCTTCTCCCACCCTATTGCCACCCTGTTGTCTCCTGCACCCCAGTACCCCAATCCCTGCCCCATAGCACCCTTCCTTACCCATAGCACCCTCCTTTGCCCCCACTTCACCCTCCCTGACCCCTTGCACCCTCCCTTGCCGTCTAGCACCCTCTTGGCCCCACAGCACCCGTCTTTGCCCCCTCCCAGCCCCGT